ACAGACTCAATGCAGAACAAGCCACGGTAAGTCTGCAGTAGAGAAAAGGTCAGTTGCAGGGAGACCACAGCACCGGTTTTTAGTCCTTTGTTTGGGCACAGCTTCCACAATACTCTTTAACCACTTCCCGTCCGGCCCATGTATATAAACGGCCGGACAGTTGCAGTGCAGGGTCGGGTGGCCGTTTATAAACGGCCTCCCCGCACCCTGCTTGTGCGCACTCCCTGGGAGCGCACAGCACCGCGATCCGGTGCCCGCTGTGTCTTCTGGACCAATCAGTGATCACATGCAGAGTAGTAAGCAAGATGTCACTTCTGACATCATTGCTTACTACGTGTGAAATCTGTGAATGATCACAGAGGTCACATGGTACAAGGCTATTCACAACAGCCTTGTACCAAGTGACAAGCTGTGACCAATCACAGCTCACACAGTATTTCTCCATGGTTGCAAGAATGCAGCCACAGAGAAGGAGAAATTATTGCTTTTACAGCCTTTATGGGTGTAAAAGCAATCGGTGTAAAAAAAAAAAAAAAATCTTCATCACCCCCCACAAGTAGTACAGTGTCACCATGGAACACTGTGATTGTGTATCAGTAAAGTACTTGTGTCCACCAATGTGAAGAGTATAGTGCATATGGCTTCTGTACGTGTTCATTGAACGCCTCTCAAGCACTTTATATCTGCAGTGTGCAAGTAGCTCTGAATGTAAAGGATTATGGCATTCACTCAGTGGTTGGCTATGAAGACAGTTGAAATATTGTACTTCCAGTGCCCGCTGGCTGTTTAGACAGGCACAAATTGCTGGCATCGTGCCCACACATTACGCTCTGAGACGTGAGGTTTTTTGCAGGCACATTTATTGCAGTACAGAGCTCGTGCCTGTTGTCTGTCTGTTAGCCAGGTTTCCATTGCTTTTTGCATATTGGCGCTGGTAGCCGTGGTCATACGTAGATGGACAAACAGAAGAGGACAAAAACCTTTGTATCCCTGAAATTGTAATGCAGTGCCATAGCTGGCTGTAGGGAAGAGGTTGTTCAGTTTCTATCATTTCACCTTAGCTAATGCTTCCACCAGTGCCCACAATGGAATAGTCTTCCATTGTTGGTGTCAGTGGGAAGAATGGTTCACAATGCTGGTGTCAGTGGGAGGAATGGTGCCTCATCAGTGGTGCCAGAGGGAGAACTAGTGCCCCATCAGTGGTATCAGAGGGAGGAATTGTGCCTCACTGTTGGTGTCGGTAGGTGGGAAGAATTGTCCCCCACTGTTGGTATCAGTGGGAGGAATGGTGCCTCATCAGTGGTGCCAGTGGGAGAACTAGTGCCCCATCAGTGGTGTCAGAGGGAGGAATTGTGCCCCATTGTTGCTGTCAGTAGGTGGGAGGAATGGTGCCTCATCAGTGGTGCCAGTGGGAGAACTAGTGCTCCATCAGTGGTGTCAGAGGGAGGAATTGTGCCCAATTGTTGGTGTCAGTAGGTGGGAGGAATTGTCCCCCAATGTTGATGTCAGTGGGAGGAATGGTGCCTCATCAGTGGTGCCAATGGGAGAGCTAGTGCCCCATCAGTTGTGTCAGTGGGAGGAATTGTGCCCCACTGTTTTTGTCAGTAGGTGGGAGGAATTGTCCCCCACTGTTGGTGTCAATGGGAGGAATGGTGCCTCATCAATGGTGCCAATGGGAGAGCTAGTTCCCCATCAGTTGTGTCAGTGGGAGGAATTGTCCCCCTCTGTTGGTGTCAGTGTTTCTATATTCTCCCACTATTTCACAGGCTTGTCTAAATGTTGTGCAGCAAACTTTAAACAAGCTTCAACATGATTTTTCTTCAGCAATGGAGTCTTGCGTGGTGAGCGTGCATACAGGCCATGGTGGATGAGTGCATTACTTATTGTTTTCTTTGAAACAATTGTACCTGCTAATTCCAGGTCTTTGTGAAGCTCTCCACAAGTGGTCCTTGACTCTTGGACAACTCGTCTAATTCTTTTCACTCCTCCATCAGAAATCTTGTTAGGAGCACCTGGTTGTGGCTGGTTTATGGTGAAATTATATTCTTTCCATTTCCGTATTATGGTCCCAACAGTGCTCACTGGAACATTCAGCAGTTTAGAAATCCTTCTGTAACCAGTGCCATCAGTATGTTTTGCAACAATAAGGTTGCAAAGGTCTTGAGAGAGCTCTTTGCGTTTACCCATCATGAGATGTTTCTTGCGCGACACCTTGGTAATGAGACACCTTTTTATAGTCCATTCGTTGAGACTGAACCAGCTGATAATTTGCATTGACAAGGGGCAGGATTGCTTTCTAATGTCTTGACTTTCCATGCTTTTTTTGCACCTCCCTTTCTTCATGTGTTCAGTAATTGTTTCCTGTGTCATTCCATTCTATTACATATAAGTTAATTTGTGAACTTATTTGTTTTGGTTTCTTTGTATGTATGTATGGCATGGGTTGTTACTGACGTGGTGAAAATGTCATATTTCATTTCAATAGCACTTTTAGAAATATATTTACTTAGAAAAATGGTGACGTGTTCAGTACTTATTTTGGCCGCTGTATATACAGCGTACAGCATATGGGCACATATAAAAAGTAACAAATAATCCTTCCTTTTGCCAGTGTTTAGAGAGAAACTTCTAAATAGGTAAAGTTTTAGCTGTGCTGAAGAAAACTCTGCTGCAGCGTCCCTGTAAATCCAGTTGTTGAATTCAGTTTTTAGCTGTTGACTTTTTTTGCAAAAAGTCTTCATTTACATATCCGAAACAGTGCTTTTTCGTCTTTTTAAAACCACTGATGGAGCAGATTATCAACTGACCAAAATGTATACATGCCAAAGAAAGGAAGGATTTACTTTAATCCAGTGGTGGTCAACTTTCTTGATATTATTATTATTATTATACAGGATTTAAATATTATTATTATTGTTATTATACAGGATTTACAGTGGGGAAAAAAAGTATTTAGTCAGCCACCAATTGTGCAAGTTCTCCCACTTAAAAAGATGAGAGGCCTGTAATTGGCATCATAGGTAGACCTCAACTATGAGAGACAAAATGAGAAAAAAAAATCCAGACAATCACATTGGCTGATTTGGAAAGAATTTATTTGCAAATTATGGTGGAAAATAAGTATTTGGTCACCTACAAACAAGCAAGATTTCTGGCTCTCACAGACCTGTACCTTCTTCTTTAAGAGGCTCCTCTGTCCTGCACTCATTACCTGTATCAATGGCACCTGTTTGAACTTATCAGTATAAAAGACACCTGTCCACAACCTCAAACAGTTACACTCCAAACTCCACTATGGTGAAGACCAAAGAGCTGTCGAAGGACACCAGAAACAAAATTGTAGACCTGCACCAGGCTGGGAAGACCGAATCTGCAATAGGCAAGCAGCTTGGTGTGAACAAATCACCTGTGGGAGCAATAATTAGAAAATGGAAGACATGCAAGACCACTGATAATCTCCCTCGATCTGGGGCTCCGCACAAGATCTCACCCCGTGGGGTCAAAATGATCACAAGAACGGTGAGCAAAAATCCCAGGACCACACCCCCCGACCTAGTGAATGACCTGCAGAGAGCTGGGACCAACGTAACAAAGTAACACACTACGCCGCCAGGGACTCAGATCCTGCAGTGCCAGACGTGTCCCCCTGCTTAAGCCAGTACATGTCCGGGCCCGTCTGAAGTTTGCTAGAGAGCATTTGGATGATCCAGAAGAGGATTGGGAGAATGTCATATGGTCAGATGAAACCAAAATAGAACTGTTTGGTAGAAACACAACTCGTCGTGTTTGGAGGAGAGAGAATGCTGAGTTGCATCCAAAGAACACCATACCTACTGTGAAGCATGGGGGTGGCAGCATCATGCTTTGGGGCTGTTTCTCCGCAAAGGGACCAGGACGACTGATCCATGTACAGGACAGAATGAATGGGGCCATGTATCGTGAGATTTTGAGTGCAAACCTCCTTCCATCAGCAAGGGCATTGAAGATGAAACGTGGCTGGGTCTTCCAACATGACAATGATCCCAAACATACCGCCCAGGCAACGAAGGAGTGGCTTCATAAGAAGCATTTCAAGGTCCTGGAGTGGCCTAGCCAGTCTCCAGATCTCAACCCCATAGAAAACCTTTGGAGGGAGTTGAAAGTCCGTGTTGCCCAGCGACAGCCTCAAAACATCACTGCTCTAGAGGAGATCTGCATGGAGGATGGGCCAACATACCAGCAACAGTGTGTGCCAACCTTGTGAAGACTTACAGGAAACGTTTGACCTCTGTCATTGCCAACAAAGGATATGTAACAAAGTATTGAGATGAACTTTTGATATTGACCAAATACTTATTTTCCACCATAATTTGCAAATAAATTCTTTCCAAATCAGACCATGTGATTGTCTGGATTTTTTTTCTCATTTTGTCTCTCATAGTTGAGGTCTACCTATGATGCCAATTACAGGCCTCTCTCATCTTTTTAAGTGGGAGAACTTGCACAATTGGTGGCTGACTAAATACTTTTTTGCCCCTCTGTATATATTATTATTATACAGGATTTTATATTATTATTATACAGGATTTATATTATTATTATACAGGATTTATATATTATTATTATACAGGATTTATATAGCGCCAACAGTTTGCTCAGCACTTTACAATATAACGGAAGACAATACAGCAACAATACAGTTCAATACAAGAGGGATAGGATCCTTGGAGCTTACAATCTAGGAGGATAGGGGGCCTCAAGCCTGTCCCATGATATCATCAAAGGTTTGCGCATAAAATTCAGTTAATTCAGTGTCAGAGACAACAGACACACCACAGGATATATTATGGGCATTATACAAGAGATATTTGGAAACTATGGACACAAAACAGAAGATGGTCAGAGATTGCTGACCGGATACTAGAGGGGGTGAAAGACTGTGGACCTGGTACAAGAGTTGGTTAGAAACTGCATACATAGTACAAGAGATGGTCAGAAACTGTAGACATGGTACAAGAGATGTCAGAGACTGCAGACGTGGTACAGGAGATGGTCAGAGACTGCAGACGTGGTACAGGAGATGGTCAGAGACTGCAGACATGGTACAGGAGATGGTCAGAGACTGCAGACATGGTACAGGAGATGGTCAGAGACTGCAGACATGGTACAGGAGATGGTCAGAGACTGCAGACATGGTATAAGAGATGTCAGAAACTGCAGACATGGTACAAGAGATGTCAGAAACTGCAGACATGGTACAAGAGATGTCAGAAACTGCAGACATGGTACAGGAAATGGTCAGAGACTGCAGGCATGGTCAGAGATGGTCAGAAACTGCAGACGTGGTACAGGAGATGGTCAGAGACTGCAGACGTGGTACAGGAGATGGTCAGAGACTGCAGACGTGGTACAGGAGATGGTCAGAGACTGCAGACGTGGTACAGGAGATGGTCAGAGACTGCAGACGTGTTACAGGAGATGGTCAGAGACTGCAGACGTGTTACAGGAGATGGTCAGAGACTGCAGACGTGTTACAGGAGATGGTCAGAGACTGCAGACGTGGTAGATGAGATGGTCAGAGACTGCAGACGTGGTAGAGGAGATGGTCAGAGACTGCAGACGTGGTAGAGGAGATGGTCAGAGACTGCAGACGTGGTAGAGGAGATGGTCAGAGACTGCAGACGTGGTACAGGAGATGGTCAGAGACTGCAGACGTGGTACAGGAGATGGTCAGAGACTGCAGATGTGGTACAGGAGATGGTCAGAGATTGCAGACAGGGACCTCTTAACCCTCTTGTATTGAATTGTATTGTAACTGTATAGTTTCTCTTTTATAATGTAGTGATGTGCATACTGTTGGCACTATATAAATCCTGTATAATAATACTGTAAGGCCATGTCACTACTCTTTTTGCTGTTTCCTGATAAAATATTATAAAGCCTGACTCCAGTTATGGATGCTGTTGCATTATTATATTGGTCCAGCTTGGATCCGTGTATATATGCCATACCTGGCAATCCCTGTAGAAGTGGCTAATCACTGTAGTAGTTTCTGCTACTACTGTACAGTGATTGCCGCTGTCTGGGTTCTTGTCTGAACGGCTGTCCTGCTGCATAGTAACCACAGAGGGTCACTTGCTCAGCATGGATGCCAGTCACAGAAGGTCTTGCAAGGCGTTCTTTGATTGAACTAGCTCAGGGGTGCGCAACCTTTTGAAGAGCGAGGGCCAGTTAAGTGATTTAGTAACCAGCCAGAGGCCGCAATGAAATGAAATGGTTCAGAATTTTGATTTATTTTTTTATTTGGAATAGCAGAATGAACATTTTTTTCCTGTAGCCACTGAAAGACAGCAGGAGGGAGGGAGAGGAGAACTGGCTTTCAGCGGTTGCAGGAAGAAATTGGAGAGAATCGATTCCCTATATATGCCTCCCCTGCCATTCCTCCTGACCAAAGTGTAAAACAGAATGTGACAGAGAGGCCGCACGGGTCCCCTGGAGCATGGGGCGGGGTTGCCATTGCGACCCTTGACGCTACACCAGTGGTTGAGGAGGTTTGGTAAAAACACATCTCAACTATGGGGTTTTACTGCCCCAAAAACCACAAATGTAAGTGAACCCTTACTGTCCTGAGCCTCCTCCGGCTTTCCTGCGGTTTAGCTGTGCTTTGCCAAGGATTTCTAGTATATCTTGCAGGTGTGGTGCACTTTCTGAAAGTGCACCGAAACTTCTGCATTCAGGTAGGATGTAGTGGAAGTGTATGGCTCAGTGCAGCTAACCCAAAAAGTGCAATACGCTGCACCCGTGGATCAGTATGAAAGCCAAATAGTTGTTAAACCTTTTATAGGTGCCAGTATGCCCATTGCAAAAGCGCAGTGTATGTGTATAAAACACTGACATTTTTTCCCCTATTCCAGCTTTTGCTGGCATCACTCTCCAGGCTGCTAGAAAGGTCCCAGGTGAAATGCACTTGGAATCACTCCGCCTGAAACAGGAGCTGATGCTACAGAGGAAGCATCGTCCTCTGCTGCTCCTACTTCCTCCATGGTCACATGCTTCCTCTGCTGCTTCTGCTTCCTCCATGGTCACATACTTCCTCTGCTGCTCCTGCTTCCTCCATGGTCACATGCTTCCTCTGCTGCTCCATGGCACATGCTTCCTCTGCTGCTCCTGCTTCCTCCATGGTCACCTGCGTCCTCTGCTGCTCCTGCTTCCTCCATGGTCACCTGCGTCCTCTGCTGCTCCTGCTTCCTCCATGGTCACCTGCGTCCTCTGCTGCTCCTGCTTCCTCCATGGTCACCTCCTCTGCTGCTCCTGCTTCCTCCATGGTCGCCAGCTTCTTCTGCGGCTCCTGCTTCCTCCATGGTCGCCAGCTTCCTCTGCGGCTCCTGCTTCCTCCATGGTCGCCAGCTTCCTCTACGGCTCCTGCTTCCTCCATGGTCGCCAGCTTCCTCTGCGGCTCCTGCTTCCTCCATGGTCGCCAGCTTCCTCTGCTGCTCCTGCTTCCTCCATGGTCGCCAGCTTCCTCTGCTGCTCCTGCTTCCTCCATGGTCGCCAGCTTCCTCTGCTGCTCCTGCTTCCTTCATGGTCGCCAGCTTCCTCTGCTGCTCCTGCTTCCTCCATGGTCGCCAGCTTCCTCTGCTGCTCCTGCTTCCTCCATGGTCGCCAGCTTCCTCTGCTGCTCCTGCTTCCTCCATGGTCGCCAGCTTCCTCTGCTGCTCCTGCTTCCTCCATGGTCGCCAGCTTCCTCTGCTGCTCCTGCTTCCTCCATGGTCGCCAGCTTCCTCTGCTGCTCCTGCTTCCTCCATGGTCGCCAGCTTCCTCTGCTGCTCCTGCTTCCTCCATGGTCGCCAGCTTCCTCTGCTGCTGCCTGCTTCCTCCATGGTCGCCAGCTTCCTCTGCTGCTCCTGCTTCCTCCATGGTCGCCAGCTTCCACTGCTGCTCCTGCTTCCTCCATGGTCGCCAGCTTCCTCTGCGGCTCCTGCTTCCTCCATGGTCGCCAGCTTCCTCTGCTGCTCCTGCTTCCTCCATGGTCGCCAGCTTCCTCTGCGGCTCCTGCTTCCTCCATGGTCGCCAGCTTCCTCTGCGGCTCCTGCTTCCTCCATGGTCGCCAGCTTCCTCTGCGGCTCCTGCTTCCTCCCTGGTCGCCAGCTTCCTCTGCTGCTCCTGCTTCCTCCCTGGTCGCCAGCTTCCTCTGCTGCTCCTGTTTCCTCCCTGGTCGCCAGCTTCCTCTGCTGCTCCTGCTTCCTCCATGGTCGCCAGCTTCCTCTGCTGCTCCTGCTTCCTCCATGGTCGCCAGCTTCCTCTGCTGCTCCTGCTTCCTCCATGGTCGCCAGCTTCCTCTGCTGCTCCTGCTTCCTCCATGGTCGCCTGCTTCCTCTGCTGCTCCTGCTTCCTCCATGGTCGCCTGCTTCCTCTGCTACTGGTACCGGCTCAATGCCCTCTCATGGGCAACACAATGACTAAATGGTTAGCACTTCCGCCTGGCAGTACTAGGGTCGTTGGTTCGAATCCCAAGCGCACAGCAGTCACATCTTCGCGGCACAGATCGGGGCCGTAAATGTTCGTTGAGGTGCGCATGCTTGGCTCAGTGAACATGACAGCTGACAGACAGGAAAATGCATTTTTGGCAGAAGAGACTGATAGGGTCTCTTCTGTCATTAATACCCCGCCTGTCAGCCAGTTTTAAAAAATTAAGTTTACTTCCACTTTAAGTTGCTTTATAATAAGTGCTGACTCTGTACACTGTTCCTTTGTTAATGCTTTTTAAAGGCGCCAGTAGTGATTGATAGGATAATGCCATGACAGGATTTACAGCCTGGCCTGTGTGCTAATCATTCATTGAACAGCTATTGATCTTTTGTGTCTTAATGGCTTTAATCAGACTAGTTGTTTCTGGCTGATGCATTGCGCCTAGTAGACTTGATCAGAAAATCGTACAAAAAATACCGCTTTCAAAGCAATTGTGCGATAATCTGTTAGTACACAGCTTGCGTCCAAAATTATTTGAAGGGACAAGCACGAAAATTTTTCTCGTACGATACCAGATCATATTATTTTTGTTTAATCAGTACAGCTTTCTTCCGAAAATACAATACATGACATCGCTTCTGAATATTTATTCTGCACTGACCGTTTTCGGAACTTTAGTAACCTTTTCTTTATCGATATGAGACTAGCAGGCAAAAGAAAATCTGACAATCATTCGTCTCATATTCTCATCATGTGCATGAGGCTTTACAGGAGTAATCGTAATCCATATTGGAAGTAACCCCTAAAATGGATTTCTTGCAGGAAATAGACTGTTTTGGAAGTCAAGAGAAGGGTGGAAAGGTATTTTTGAACTGGAGTTCTAATGAGAACCACTATAACCCATCAGCTCTTATGGGACAGAAAGTGTCAGAAGAAGAGTAGATGTGAACGCTTCATAGATGACATTTGCACCCTTTTCACATGGCCGTTCTGATCAGGTCCACCTGACAGTTTTCCTGGTGGATCTGATTGGAAGGTCCATGCATCCCTGTGGACAGGTGGTTGTAAATGGACATGTGTCTGTGTACACCCACCTACCTCTGGGCCTGATTGAAGCTGTGACGGATGCGTCAGACCCCCAGCCCTTCTCACCAACTTGTGACAGAAGGACTAGCCAATCTAAAACTGCGCTGTCACGTGCGTCACTATGCCATGCTCTGCTGCACCCCGCAGAAAGATTTTCCAGCTCACTGGAAAACAACCTATGTGCCGCAGCCTGAGAGCGATTGTTACTGGGTCAGGTTAATTACGCAATTAACCCTGCACACTGCCACCACCACCTTTTTGTACAGAGAAGGAGGAAACTCTCCAGTCTTAGCAGTAACACTATGATGTTTGAATAAGCATCTGTATACACACGGTCACCGCAGGCAGATGTATGCAGAAGTTTAAACCACACGGTAGCGCTCTTCAGAGACAGGGTTCTTAGTTTGCATTAAAGAGCTTTACAAACAGTTCAATGCTTTTCAGATAATAGGATTTATTACTGAAAAGGTCAAAATGGTGCAAATAAACTCTTTACAGAAAAAAGATGTAGCGCATATATATATATATATATATATATATATATATATATACAGAGAGAAATAACACAGCAGAGAGATAACAGAAGTTTAGAGAGGTAGAATACTGCTTGCCAGAAGTCCTGGTTTAAGCGGCGTTCAAGTGTCCTGAACAAAAGGGTGCCTTTTCTCCCAAAGTTGGTTCCTGATGTTAAAAGGGAGATCTCTTCATCTTATCTCTCTCAGGCCTGACCACCTGTTTTCTAATCCACCAGCAGGGTGTCTCCTTAAAGCAGAGAACCAATCGCCTCATTTGAGGAGGGGTGTTTAGGCGGGGAACTCAGGCTATGATCAAATTCCTCACATGTTTATATCATGGTCAATAACCTTCCCTAGGTATATGTAGCATCCTATCCACTGGAATGATATTCTGAACATCCAGATATGACATATCTGTTTGTGACG